ATTCACAATTGCATATGGTTGGGTCTTTCGCCAGGATAATTGTTTTTATATAATAAGCCGCGCCACTGGACGACGCGCGGCACTGGAACAACAACGGTCACACTAGAGGAAACGGCCACTCTGGCTTAACACAGCGCACGGCACCCTCAACAACACGTCGCACTTGAGACGGCCATTCTGGTCATCATTCCGTAACCGCGAGGAAGGATGGAGGATGAAGGAGGAGAAGGGGGAGAAGGGATGAGAAGGAGGGGGCGGATGGGGTAGCCGAAAATGGGGAGGAGGGGGCGGTGATGATGGGATCGACGTTGGTGGACTACTGGGGGTCGACGATGGTGCATTATTAGGGGAGTCGGGGGTGATGGTTGATTGATGATGAGGGGGGGTGCTGATGATGAGGGCCGAGGATGGACGAGGGGTCGAATAAATATGGATCAGGGGATGATGGAGGAGGAGGAGGGCGAATGGCGATGATCGGAGGATGTGCGTAGGACAATGATGCGGAGGAGGAGAGAAGAGGCAACAACCAGGGAAGACGATGGACGATGATGGTAATAATGATGAGGATGTTGATGGATGCGGAGGGATGAGGATCGTGGATGATGATGCTCAAGGGGTCGAGACAAGCGCACTCTCGCCTAATAAGAAGAGGGAGATCCTTGTTGCCCCCGCCGCCGAACCCAGGTAAACAATCGTAAGCGCTTGCGAATGTCCATCGCTTGTAATAGAAAACCAATAGCACGGCCCCCGCCGCCCCCGCCGCCGACCCCCGGTGAACGCTCGTAAGCGCTTGCGAATATTCAGTGGGATTCCAGCCGTGGCTGGGATTCTCGTTAAGGCTAAGGGCCCTTCGGCTGTTCAAAAAAGGCAATATCTATCATGATTTATTGAACGCTCGGGAGCGCAAGTGAGTGTTTAAAACTTAGAAGAATTTTTGAACACTCGTGTGTGCCTGCGGATGTTTATCGCTTGTAGTACAAAAACTATATCACGGCCCCGTCGCCCCTGCCCCGCCCCCGCCGCCGACCCCGGGTAAACACTCGTAAGCGCTTGCGGATGTTCAGGGGTAATTAATGAACAGCCCAACTTCAGCTGTTCAAAAAACACCAATGATTTCTGAACGCTCGCTTGCGCAAGTGAGCGTTTAAAAACTCTGTGATTTATCTTTGATTTTTTGAACGGGCAACGCCTGCAAGACCCCCCGTCGCAACGCCCGCCCCACGAGCCATAACGAGAATCCTTTTCGGGGGCCAACTGTTGATTGATTGCCACCCCTTCCTATTATTGAAGTATGTATTATGATGGACGATGGCGATTGCTACTTCGTATTTGTGTTGTGACTGGCGTGGGATCTTGCCGTGATGACCCGTCCGGCTGTGAGATGGATCACCGCCGTCGGGCTGCTGCCGCTGCTGGCCGCCGCCCAGCGTTGTTGCTCGAGCTCGCCCTCGACATCGAGGGTGCGGCAGCAGAGGCCAGCTAGGTACTCTTCATCATCATCGTCTTCCTGCTTCACCACCGCCCCCCCGCAACAACAAGGTTGTCGAAGATGGGCAAGAAGGCGGCGGCAGGGAAGCCCGCGGCGGCGAAGAAGGCTGCGGCGAGGGGTCGCCCGTCGACAGCGGCGGCGGGGGGTGAGCCCAGCATCATGGCCCTGGACACCATCGGCGTCGACGTGACCACTGCCGGGGTGAACGCGCCCATCTGGTTGAGGCACAAGGACCCAATTTTGGATTGAGCCCAGCTGCGCGTGGACCTCCCCCTACCTCGTTCTTGATGGTGTGGTGGCGGGGTCGGGGCCCTGCGGCGAGCCGACCCTCCTCGTCGTGATAATGGGCGGGCCCGATGGGCGGGCCCATCATGTGGGTGGGCCTTCATTCTTGCGCGCGATCGGACCCCCCCCCTGCAATGAGCACTAGCAACAGCGCCTCATAGTGATGTTTATTCGATGATGAGCGGGGCGGCGGAGGGAGGGATGGCGAGAACGAGGAGGAGGGAGGGGGGATGAGCGAGAGCGAGGAGAGAGAGAGAGAGAGAGAGCGAGAGAGAGAGAGAGACGAGACGAGAGGGACACGAGAGACCAGACGAGCGAGACAAGACGATGCGATGCGAGACGATATATATATATTTATATATGTAAACATCTATATCTATGATATATAGTTATATATATAGAGAGAGATAGAGAGAGAGATAGCCATATAGAGAGATAAACCTAGAGAGAGAGAGAAATAAATAAAGAAAGGGATCGAGAGAGAGATATAAAGATAACGAGAGAGAGAGAGAGAGAGAGAGAGAGAGAAAGACAGAGAACGAGAGAGAGAGATAGAGAGTGAGACGGAGGGGTGGAGGATGGATATAGCGGGAGGGAGAGATATGGAGATGGGAGGGAGAGAGAAAGAGAATAGAGAGAGAGAGAGAGAGAGAGAGAGAGAGAGAGAGAGAGAGAGAGAGAGATACAGAGAGAGAGAGAGGAGAGAGAGAGAGAGAGAGAGAGAGAGAGAGAGAGAGAGAGAGAGGGAGAGAGAGAGAGAGAGAGATAGAGAGAGAGAGAGGTGCAGAAAGCATGTGCGCTCCGAGACCTAGTAGCTCCGATTAGAGAGAGAGCTCCGCCTCCTCCTTCCCTTCTTCGCTCCCCCCTCCAGTTCTCCCCCGCCGCATCCTTCCCCCCATTATTCGCGTCGTCCTGCCTCCTGCTCCTCTTCCCCTGCGTCCACCTCCTGCACCTCCTCCCCTTTCTTCTCCTCCTCCTCCTCCTCCTTCGCCCTCCCCTTCCGCCTCCGTTTTTTTCAGCATCTGGTCAGGAGAACGTCGACCTGGTATACGACCACGCGGCCTTCGCTGGCATCAAGGAGTCTGAGCCGCTCAAGTTCACTACTGCTGCTGATGATGCGAGTGCTTTCATCGCACCTTTCCAGGGGCCCGTGGCGTCGAACTCATTGGAGAAAAATGGTGAATACATGTGTGGCATCAACCTCGCCTGGATTGATCCATTCTTTGCGCCGTGCCCGAAAGTCCCCATCGCGTGGGCGAGCGTCCAGACGATCTACGACGCCTACTTCAAGAAGGGGAAAGGTTGGGGCAAAGACTTGGCCCTGGAGATCCCAGTCTTGGAGTGCGAGATTGGGTCGGACTTGATGAAGCATAAGGGCAGCTTCAAACACGCGTCGCCGGACGAGATCATCATGGCTTTCTTCCAGGCTGTGGCGGACGACATCCGCAGAGGCGCGCCCGAGGAGACCTTCCAGAACTGGATATACCACTTCCAGTGCGTCCCGTGCATGTTCGTGAAGGTGGCCAGGTTCGAGGACATCGAGTGGAGAGGCGGCCCTGGCCGCATTGAAATGTTGGTTTCAGGAGGGAGGTAAATAGGACGTGGGGGATGATGGGGACGAGACATGATGGGGGAGGAGAAGGAGGAAAAAAGAGGACATGCAGAACATCATACTAAGTCGGGGACGTAGGACGGAGGAGTGGAGGAGTGGCATGCAGCAGCCAAGAACAGCAGCTCGCACTGGCGAACATATCTTCTCGGGTTAGATAGCTGCATCGGCCACGCGGCCGGGGGGACAGATGATGCAAACAAAGTGGCTCCCCACCGCCATCCAGCAGATGCCCCAAGACTGTTGGTAACAAATCGTGCTCACCCCCCTTCCCCCCCCCCCCCCCCCCTCCGCCCATCCGAGGGGGGCGGGGCCGCCTGGCGGCCCCAGGAGGAGGAGGGGGAAGGGTCCACCAGGCCCGCAACAACAAACAACAACAAGTGACACGACGCATAACCTCCGCAGCCGCGCAGCTCCGTGAAGACATCAAGACCAACACTACCCTGTGCCGCACCGTGATTCAGCGCATCTGGGATATGAACTTGCGGCGGGTCGAGATGGGCGGCGCCAAGGTGACCCCGGCCGCCATGTTTGAGGTCTACGAGAAGAAGCTCGACGCCTCTTCACGTGGCGAGAAGATCTCCGTTGGTTTCATCGACGCTGCGTTTACCATTTGGGACCGCGCCCTGTGCAAGCCAAGTGTTCAAGCTGTTGTGTTGGCCCAAGAAGAGTACCGTGAGAAGTCGATTTTCAACGAGTCCTCGAAGATGCAAGAAATGATCTCTAAGGCGCGTAGCGACGATAACATCGAGTGGGTGTTCACAATTGTTGCCGACTACTTCGAGGCCGAGCTCATCACCCACGATGCATTGTCTCTCAGGAACCTGCAGGGCAAAGCCCCAAATTCCAATGGGAAAGGGATCGTCGACCTTTTCGTGTTTAAGAAGACGATGCTGGCGTACTTCCTGGACACGCTGATGCCGGGGAAAGCTATTCCAGCCGGGTGCAAGGCGAAGATCCGAGAGGTGGTCTCCTCCGCCAAGGCGTTCCGACAGCACATGGGGTACCCCAAGGCGACGTGGCACCCTGATCTGTCGTGGAAGGCTGGCTGGCCACCGAGCGCGGACAGCATGTTGAAGATCATCGAGGACTCACTCGGGCCGGGCGCAAACAAGCATGGGCAGACGTCAGTGATGATAGTAGAAGGGGTGTCGGCGATCATCGCGTGGATGCCTCTCGTCGTCGCGCTGATCTGGCGTCCTTGGATGCCCCATCGGGTCGCCCTTTGAGCCATCGCCGTCTCCCTGGCCTCCTCCTCCCTCCTCCTCCTCCTTCTCCTTGCCCCCCCCCCTGGCCGGGCAGGCAAAACTGTTTCAGGGCCAGCAGGGGCAGCGTGGAACAACAGCGGGTCTTCTTATGTCAGTTTAGGCCCAAGGACCCTGGATGCGCTCCGACTTACTACTCTGTAACCACATCTCACAATAGGTCAGGACTTTGCTCTACCGATGCTCCTCATCCTCGGCCTTCTCCTCCTCCATCTCCTCTTCCGGATGTGTCTCATGATGTCCTTCCCTTTTCCTTCTCAAGTCACCCTCCCCTGCTGCCCGCCCCTTTCCTTCTTCTTCTGAGCCCCCCTCCCTCCTGCCCTCCATTTTTCCCCACATCGATCTTCAACAGGACGTCGTGTACAATCAGACCTTCGACGAGGTGCTCCGCCAGGCCGTCCGCTCTGCGAAGACCCCCGAGGACTGCTGCGACTTGGGCGAGCTCGCCCAGGCCCTGAACAAGTTGGACGAGGAGATCAAGGAGGAGCAACCACCTGATGTGGTGCAGCAGCCTTCGGCGGCGGACGTCGAGGCCAGCAGGAAGAAGGCGGAGGAGGAGGAAGCCAATAAGAAGAAGGAGTGGGACTTCGAGGAGAGCGCCTCGTCTGTCATCCTGAAGAAGGTCGAGGAGGCGAACTCGTCCAAGACGGGGGACTCGCAGATGACCGATGCCGACGACATCGAGAAGATCAAGGCTGCCGAGAAGGATGTCACCCGGATCTTCGATGCCAACGTCACTCTCTGCCCGATGCCCGACAGCGAGAAGAAGGCCCGGGCGGCTCTCCAGGGGTCCGCGGTTGGCAAGGGGCCCGAGCAGCATGGCGCGGAGAAAAAGTTCACCCTCATCTTTGTCGACCCCGGCCTCCTCGGCGAGCCTGTGACGGCCCCGCACATCCGCATCAACGCTGTGCCCCAGGACAAGATCAAGGTGGGGCGCGCGAGGGGTCGCAATATGTTGTTTCCCAAGTTCGTTCAAACAGAATTTAGTTATACAAGACTGCAGTGGCGCTTCGCGTCATGCAGCTTGGTCCTTGATGAAGTTTGGTATGCAGGCGGAATAACAGGGCTGTAAAGCCGACAATATAGCGATAACTCTTTGTTGCCTTTTCTGTCATCGCCGCTAGAATAATGTTATTCGTTATCCTTCCTCCATGTTTTTTCCATCATTTTCGCCATGCCCTGCGCATTATCTCCATCCTCCTCGGCTCTTCTTGCTGGGGCCCCTCCTTGTAGAGCCTCTGGGGCCTCGCAAAAGTTATGTCATGCTTTCTTAAGGCCTTCTGGCGGCCTCTTGGGCGTGTTCTGGGGGCCTCTGGGGGCTTCCTCGGGTCGCCCTGCCTCCAACCGCGGTCTCCCTGAACGAGCGGGTCACGATTTGGAATGCTTCGGAAGGTGTCTTGGGGCCATCTTCTTGGGCCGCCGTGGGGCTCTCTGCTGAGGGCCATCTTGGGCCCCTGTTGTGCCGTTTCGGGGCTCTCCTCTTGGACTGCCTGGTAAACTCTTTAAAACGCGGGGAGGGGGGGGGGGCAATTTCGCAACGGCTTCTGGCTGTTATTTTCCATTTTTCCTTTGCGATTTTAGAGCCTCCCAGGCGGCTTCGGACGCCCAGACAACATCCGTCTTGGAGCGTCGGGAAGCCCACAAGAGGATAACCCCAACAGCACTCACCAAAAACCAATAGAATATCAATGCTGGTTGCCTCTTGGGCCCTTCTTGGGAGTGCTCTTGGATGCCTCTTGTTGGGGCGTTTCGGGACGATTTTTGGGAATATAATGTCTTCTTGCTTGGGGGCCGTCTGCAGGTCACGTCGGTCACTCTTGGAGCGCTCTTGCGCTGTCTTCGGGGTCTCTGGGGCGTCTCCGATGACCCCTCCCCCCGATCGCCCGAGGTGTGCTGGGAAGGCCTGGCAAGACGCCCTGCGAGGCCCTGGCTGGGCGCCGCTTCGAGGCCCGTCCGGATGGCCCCACATCCCCAGATCTTGGGAGCCCAGTTGTTCCCAACCATCCTGTGGTGTTGGGTCATCGTTTTGAAGAGACGGTGCCCCGCGTCTCCTCTCCCTCCTTCTTTCCTTCCTCCTCCCTCTGCCCCCTCCCTCCTCCCACTATCACAGCGCGCCCCTCGCACGCTTCGTGGCCCCATCATAGTAGGGAGCTCCGCCGAGGGCCCCAGTGGCTGCGCTGGCCTTGCGGCGCCGCGCCCATTTTCGGCACGCCCCCTCACGCGTTTCGTGGCCCCATAATAGGGGGCTCCACCGACGAGGGTCACAGTGGCTGCGTTGGCATGGCGGCACCGCGCCCATTTCGGCACACCCCTCACACGTTTCGTGGCCCCATACGGAGCTCCACCGAGGGTCCCAGTGGCTGCGTTGGCATGGCGGCACCGCGCGCATTTCGGCACACTCCTCACACGCTCCGTGGCCCCATAGGGAGCTCCACCGAGGGCCCCAGTGGCTGCGTTGGCATGTTGGCACCGCACCCATTTCGGCACGCCCCTCACACGCTTCGTGGCCCCATCATAGGGAGCTCCACCGAGTGCCCCAGTGGCTGCGTTGGCATGGCGGCGGCGCCGCACCCATTTCGGCACACCCCTCACACGCTTCGTGGCCCCATAGTAGGGAGCTCCACCGAGGGCCCCAGCAGTGGCTGCGCTGGCATGGCGGCACCGCACCCATGTCGGCACACCCCTCACACGTTTCGTGGCCCCGTAATAATAGGGAGCTCCACCGAGGGTCCTAGTGGCTGCGTTGTTGGCATACAGCGGCACCGCACCCATCATGTCGGCACACCCCTCACACGTTTCGTGGCCCCATAGGGAGCTCCACCGAGAGCCCCAGCGGCTGCGTTGGCATGATGGTGGCGGCACCGCACCCATGTCGGCACACTCCTCACACGTTTCGTGGCCCCATAAATATGGAGCTCCACCGAGGGCCCCAGTGGCTGCGTTGGCATGGCGGCACCGCACCCATCTCGGCACACCCCTCACACGTTTCGTGGCCCCATCATCATAGGGAGCTCCACCGAGGGCCCCAGTGTCTGCGTTGGCATGGCGGCACCGCGCTCATTTCTTCGGCACACTCCTCACACGCTTCGTGGCCCCATCATAGGGAGCTCCGCCGAGGGCCCCAGTGGCTGCTGCGTTGGCATGGCGGCACCGCACCCATTTCGGCGCACTCCTCACACGTTTCTTCGTGGCCCCATCCATAGGGAGCTCCACCGAGGGCCCCAGTGGCTGCGTTGGCATGGCGGCACCGCACCCATCATTTCGACACACCCCTCACACGTTTCGTGGCCCCATAGGGAGCTCCACCGAGAGCCCCAGTGGCTGCGTTGGCATGCATGGCGGCACCGCACCCATGTCGTCGGCACACCCCTCACACGTGTCGTGGCCCCACCATAGGGAGCTCCACCGAGGGCCCCAGTGGCTGCGTTGGCATGGCGGCACCGCGCCGATTTCGGCACACTCCTCACACGTTTCGTGGCCCCGTAGGGAGCTCCACCGAGTGCCCCAGCGGCTGCGTTGGCATGGCGGCACCGCGCCGATTTCTGCACGCCCCTCACACGTTTCGTGGCCCCATCATAGAGAGCTCCACCGAGAGCCCCAGTGGCTGCGTTGGCATGGCGGCACCGCACCCATTTTTTTGGCACGCCCCTCACACGTTTCGTGGCCGAGGGCCCAGGGCCGCGTTTCGTGGCCCCATAGTAGGGGGGAACTCCACCGAAGGCCCCAATGCTACCGCCCGCATGCGTCCCGCACGCCCAGGACAGCGCTTCGTGGCCCCATAGGGAGCTCCACCCAAAAAGGCCCCAATGCTACCGCCCGCATGTGTCCCGCACGCCCAGGGCAGCGTTTCGCGGCACGCCTTCCGTGGCCCCATAACATAAGAAGGGGGCCCCACCGACAGCAGCACCCGCCACGCGTTATTATTCACGACAATTGCATATGGTTGGGCCCTTCGCCAGGATTTTGTTTTGGGGGGAGGGTGGTGTGATGATGGGTTTTCCCACCGCCCGGACGTGTAAAAACAAAAGAGGAATAAGTTAGTGGCGACGTCGCAGCGGAGACACTGGGGGCCCTCTGGGAGCCCCAACTGCTGGGCCCAATGCGCCTTCCTGGCTGGGGCCTTCCTCCTCCTCCTCCTCCTCCTCCTCCTCCTCCTCCTCCTCCTCCTCGTGGAATGCGGGGTGGTGCTGCTTGCGGGTGCTTGCGTGGGCCATTTTATCACGCATGGCGCCGGGGGGAATGTGGTTGGTTTGCGATCGGCCGACAACGAGATTCATTTTTGCAGTCCCACAGTCTCCACCATTTCTCTAATAATAAGCGCCATATTGGTTTATGCACCCTTCTTTTGGCCCCATACATAATAGCGAATTGTTGGCGCTTCGCGCATCCCCACCAGCCCATCCAGAAACGACGCTCAGGGGAGTTGTTGAGGTGATCAGGGAAGTCGGGGAGCATGCAGAATATCAAAGGGCGGGGGAAGCTGTCACAGACCCCGAGAGGGGGAGGATGGAAGAGGAATCGTCGTCGTCGTCGGAGGACGGAGGGTGGGGAGGAGGATGAGGAGGGGGAGGAGGAGGAGGAGGAGGAGGAGGAGGATGAGGAGGAGGAGGAGGGGAACGAGGGGGACATGGAGTAGTAGGGCGAGGACGAGGAGGACGAGACGGAGGAGACGGAGCAGAGGGGAGAGAATGAGGAGAACGATGAGAAGGAGGAGGAGGGTGATGATGAGGAGGAGGGAGGAAGAGGAAGAGGTGGTTGAGGAAGAGGAAGAGGAAGAGGACTGCGAACCCGAAGAGCCAGAAGCGTCTTGAATGCCTTTTCGGAAATCCTCTTGAGGCTTATTGGGGGTATCTTGGGAGCCTCTTGGAGGGTTTTGTTGGGTGCCTTGGGGCATCTTGGGCGCCTCTTGGGACCCTCTTGAGGCGCTCTATTGGGCGTTAGTGGGGCCATCTTGGAAAGAGTCGATCAAACAAGAGGAGGGCTCCAATTAGCTTCCCCCCTCGGGAGCCCCATCGTTTGCCTCTTGGGCCCCTCTTGGAGCGATCTTGGGCGCTTTGGGGGCCGCCTTGGGGCTCTCTTGGGCCATCTTGGAGCCATATTGAGGCCTCGGATGCCCATCGGAAGCGACAAGGCGAGAAAGCAAAACACATTGTTTTTCCTTAGGTGTTGGGACGATGTTGGCCTCGTCGGGGTTTCCTTAGGGAGCTCTTTGGCCACTTGGAGCCGTCTTGGGATCGCCTTGGGGCTCTTGGAGCATCTTGGGGGCCATCGTGGGCGATCTTGCGCTATCTTGAGCCATCTTGGAACTCATCTTGGGCTCTCTGAGGCGTTTTCGAAGCCATCTTTGGCCATCTTGGGCGCTCCAACGCGCCGCGGCCCCCCCCCGCCCAGGTCCAGGGGGGGGTAGGGGGAGGGGCAAACCCCTCCCCAAGGGGGAAGAGGGAGGGGTGGAAGAGGATCTGGTCTAGACCACGCACGCCCAGAGGGCTGGTGGGACTTGGTAATCCTCGCCCCCATCATCCCGCCATCTCCGTAGAATCTGCCATCCTCCCCCCTCCTCCTTCCCCCCTCCAATCCGCCCAAGAGTGGGTAGGAGGGGGGCTCAAACCTTTGTCTTCTTGTTGGGGTCCTCCGCTGGGCCCAATGCCCAATTGACCCATCCTCTTCTTTTGATGCCTGCAGGTGCTGCTCCGGGCGGTGTTGTCGCGCTTCGATGATGGCAGTAAGGGCAGCGCCATTCACGACACGGACTTGTTCCTCCTCTTCGACAACCATCTCCACTACAACGTGCAGAAGTTCCAGAAGAAGCAGATCTATTTGTCATACGACGAGGACAGCCTACGCCACCGCATGGGGTGCGTCCGGGGCAATTCGCAGTTCGATCAGATCGAGTACCTGACACTTTGCAGCAAGGACGAGTTGAGCATGTGCCTCCCCAACACGAAGCGGCTGATCTACCCTGGCTCGAACTCGGGCAACAAAATCGGCGACATCGAGTTGCCACCTGTTTCTGCCCTGTGGCAGCTTCCGTGCAAGGTGAAGCACCAGATCCACGGGGCCTTCAGGGTCGAGGCCGGGGGGGGGACGAAGGGCGAGGAGGGCCCCGGGCGCGGGAACAAGCGCAAGACCGTGGACACAGTGGAACCAGTCTTCTGGCGCGGCCGCCCCGTCAAGTTCTACACTGAGCTGAAGCATTCGTACCGCATGGGGAAGTGTATTGACATCAGCGTCGGCGATGGCACGCTCGCTGTTCTTTGCGCCCAGAATCGGATTCCCTACTTCGGCTTCAGCCTGAACGAGAAGCACGCCAAAGCAGTGCGCCAGCGGTGCATTCAGGTGATGCTGGAGCGGAAGTTCACCGAGGGCGACAAGTCGTACGACCCCGAGCTGGCCAAGCTGTTCAAGATCGCGGCCGCGCCCGAGGAGCATGCGTCGAAGAGGCCGAGGGTCACGGGTGGTGGACCTTTGGGCGACAAGCAGGACTCGAAGCAGTCTGGCCAGCAGACGCTCGACGAGTTCAAGAACAAGTTGGAGTAGCTGAAGAGGAAGTCCAAGGAGGAGGCTGGCACCACCAAGAAGAAGAAGGAGGAGGATATTGACGACGACGAGGAGGAGGGCGAGCAGGACGACCAGTAGTCGAGGGGCGTAGTTGCCCCGACGTATTTTTTCCCCCGTCATCTCCGCCCCTGGCCACTCACTACTGGCCTCGACAACGCAACGACGACGGGATTGGCGTCATATTTCGGCCCGCCAGTGCGCACCAGTTTGCTGCGCGTCTGATGCACTGGAGACGTGGGCCCCCAGCGTGGCAACCAATGATGAATGGCCCGACGCGCACAGCAACGCAAAGACAACGCAATGCAAACGATCCCGTGTCCAAACAAAACAATGCAATGAGCATCGCTACAGGCGCAACCCATCATGATGGGCTCAAGATCCTTAAGTCCCCCATGTGGAAGCCGTGGGCGCTACCAATGGCGTCACCAGCAGGCGCTACCCGCTGGCGCAACCTCAATCAAGCGCGACCTACGCAAGACCATTGCTTGCGCAATCCGTGGGCGCGGCAGTTTATTATGATTATGACGCAACCCATAGCAACGCTACTAATGACTTTGGCCACGACGGGAGGGGGAGCGCCATCGAGCCCATCGTGACAGGATCCTTGACTCACGAATTTCAATGCAAAACCTTGATTGGGATGCTCGTGCTCGATGCCTGGACGAGTACATGCGCAGGTGCTGGCAAGCAACGCTCGCATTAGTTTGCCGCCCCCTTCCCGCCTCTCCCTCATCATCATACCTTCTCCGCCTCCTCCGACCTCTTCCGCCTTCCTTCTTCCGTTATCTTTCATCTGTCCCGACCTCATCTTCCGCCTCCACCTCCGCCTCCTCCGACTTCCTCTTCTCCGATCCCCTCCAGCGGCCCGCTGGGCGCCAGCGGCGATGCTGGCGGGGGCGGGGGGGCCGGCGCCGCTTCTGCTGCAGCTCGGCTGCCGTGCCGCAACTCCGAGGAGTCGGTAGCTCTGCCGTGGTCGGTGGGGCGAGGAGGTGGCCGAGCTGTTTGATGAGTATCTCTTGAGCTGCCGGCGAAGGTGCGACGCACTTTTATGGAAAATGGCCCCTTTGCCCTACACCCCCTCTCCTCTCCTCTCCTCTCCTCTCCTGTCCTCTCCTCTCCTCTCCTCTCCTCTCCTCTCCTCTCTTCTTCTCCTCCTTTCTCTATCCTCCCTCTCTCTATTATCCTCCCTCTCTCTCTCTCTCTCTTTCCTCTCTCTCTCTCTCTCTCTCTCTCTCTCTCTCTCTCTCTCTCTCTCTCTCTCTCTCCCCCTCCGAACGACTTCTGTTGGGGCCCAAACGGTGGGCGCGCGGGGCCGTCCACCGTCGCGGGGCTGTCCGCCGTCCGCTGCCATCATGGACGAGGATTGGTGCGCCGCGACGGAGGACGCTGGCAACGACGTCTGCGACACGAAGCCCAAGACGAAGAATCGCCGCCACGGGGGAACGGTCGTAGGGGGTAATAGATATTACTATCGATTCCAACCCCCGCTCCCCCAACCGCAGCGACGTCCGTTCTGATGATGCGTAGCGCCCCGCAGTTGCGGATAAGAGTAATGACGCGGCGCTTGCGACCCACTCACGACCCGCCCGCCATCGGCCCCGCCACCCACCTGTCTTGCTGGACGGGCCCGAAAGCCCCTGCTGGGGGCCCCCGCCGTCATCAAACGACGAGAGCTTGGCGGGCGTCCGCGCGCTCGGAGACCAGGTGGATTTACATGGGCACCTCGGGGGATTTACATGGGCACCTCGGGGGATTTACATGGGCACCTTGGCCCTCCGCAGGACAATGTACGCAGGCTCCTCGGGGGGGGGGTGCATGGGCGGGCACCTCGGGGGACATGGGTGCCAACGTCTACTTCTGAGGCTCCCAAGGGATTATTTACATAGGCACCTCGGCCCGCAGGAACGTGCATCAAGCAACATGTGCATCTTCTGCCTTGCGCCGTGCACTTCTACGCAAGGCCCCCGGGGGAGTTGCAACATGGGCACTTCCGCCCTGAGGAAACTGCACGCGGTAGCTTATGCGTGCGCATGCTGTACCACGTGAGACCAATTATGGGTTCAGCACCACTGATGAAATTTCCCCATCCCTGCGATATCCCATGCGCATCCCCCCTTTGATTTAATGTCAGTCTACCGACAACAAGCATAATCATCACCGCGGACCCCCACTTCAGCCCCGGACATTGTAAGACCGTTCGGCCCCAGTCATCACTCGGACCGTTCGGCCCCCTCAGCGCGATTCTTTCATCCCCTGCTGAGGGGCCCGCTGCTGTTGCTGCGCCGAGACCGAAGAAGGCCATGACAAAGGCGAAGCAGAAGACGCCCGGGGCGGTGAAGAAAAAACCTTCCTCCAAAGATCTCGGCAACGGGCCCCCCAAGAAGAAGAAGGGCAACGAGGCGCCGGTGGCGCAGAAAAAACCTTCCTCCTCCAAAGATCTCGGCCACCAGGTCCCCGAGAAGATGGTGATGAGGAGGCCCGCAGCGAGTTCGACTGCTCGCCGCGTCTCGCTTGCCCCCAAATCCCCTCTGGACGCCAGCGCCTTCGAGCGCACCGCAACACTCGTTCACATTCCAACGCTAAGGATTGCATCGGACTTCTCGGGATGGTGCACGGAGATCAGGGCGGCGGCGGCAGTCGCGTCGGCAGACATCGTGCACGTCTGGGCTTCCGAGACAAGCACGGGCGCCAGGACAGTCGCTCTGGCCATGGGGAGGGGGGGAGGTAGGGTGGATGGAGGGCCCCTGCCAATGATGATGATTTTGGCGAGTTCCCTCTCTGTCTTACCCATTTGCCTCCTCCTTGGCAGAAGAGGGGGGTGCCCGCCTTCCCTCTCCTCCTCCTGCCCCCCCTCCTTCGCCTCGACCTCCCCCTTCTCCTCCCTCGACCACCGTGCCCAATTATTGACGCTTCGCGTATCCCCACCAGCCCATCCAGAAACGATCGCCAGGTGGGTCGGTATTTTTGGGATATAATGATGAGAGGTCATTGCAAGACTCTCTGGGGCATCTTATTGGGTTCATCTTGGGGCTCTTTTCCTGGGGTACTCTTAGGGTCGTCTTGGGGCTCTCTTGGGGCTCTTTTGGGGGTGGGCCTGTGACTTTCGGGATATAATGTTGAGAGGTTATTGTAAGACTCTTTGGAGCATCTTGGGGTCATTTTTTTGCCTTGTGACATGCAATCCAACACCTCGAACGAATGCTCTGCAGCTGGTAAAGCATCCGTTCTCCTAAGCAATGGCGAAAACTAGGCGGCGAACATTCAGTGAGCGCTCCGCTGCGGGTAAAGCGCTTGTCTTCCTAAGCAGTGGCGAAAAGTACGGGGCGTATTGGGGCCATCTTGGGCCTCTCTTGGGGCCCCCTTGGGCCGTCTCGGGCCCATCTTGAGGCCTCGAGAGCCCATCATCGGATGCGAAAAGGCAAGGAGGCAAACAAACATTGATTTCCCTTTGGTTGTTCAATGATTTTGGCTTCTTGGGGGGGTCCTTGGAGGGCTCGGAAGGCACTTTTAAATTGTCCTGGGGCCGTCTTGAGGCCTCTTCTTGGGTGCGTGTCGGAGGCGCATCCTGGGCCATCTTGGAGGCCACCTTGGGCTCTCTCATGCCCTCTTGGACCCATCTTGGGCAAAAAAGAGCGCTCTGACTACCCGCGGCCCGCCCCGTCCAGGTCCAGGGGAGGGGGCGTGTGCCTCCCCCGAGCAGCAGGGGTTTTGGCAGAGAGAATACCAAGTTCCCTAAACCACCTTCACCCGAGGGCTGGTGGGATTCGCGCGCAAGCAGGCCGGGCGGTGAGGAAGGAGGGAGGACGTGAAGTTGTAGACCCCGTCGGCCAGGAAGTTTCTCAACCACTTCGTGAGCCCGTCGGGTTGCGTGCTGTTCGAGGACATGACCAAGCGGCCGCTCTCAGCCCTGCCCAATGAGCCAGTGCACTTCTACGTGGCCGGTTGGCCGTGCCAGCCGTTTTCGGTGGGGGGGTTGCACCTCGGCGAGGCCGACCCGCGCGGCGAGCTCTACAACTACGTGCTGCAGGTCATCATGGAGAAGAAGCCCCGCGCCTTCATTTTGGAGAATGTGCGCGGCCTCATGACGCGGAAGCACAAGGACGTGTTCAACTTCATCATCGGTGTCTTGAGGGCAGTGCGGGACTCCAACAATGCCCCCTTCTACGACGTCCACTGGGAGCTGTACGACACCAAAGTCCATGGAGGGTTACCTCAACACCGCGAGAGGTGCTACATCGTTGGCATCAGACGCTCCATGATGGCCCATCGCTTCGTGATGCCTGGCGCCCAGCCCTGCAAGCATATCAACGAGGTCATCACCCAGCGCATGAAGTCAGCCGATTACGGGGACACTCAGGAGAACGAGTTGCCTAAGACCAAGAAGATGAACCTCGAGGTGGCTTTCCACGTGGCCCTTGAGAAGATGAAGAAGTCGCCCAGGTCCGCCGGCCACGGCGAGCCTTGGATCTACGACTTGGGTGGGGACCAAGCCTACCGCGCTTCCAGGCAGGTGCGCGGGAAGCAAGCAGCAACAACCAAACTCCTCCTGCTGCTCCTTCTCCTCTTCCTTCTCCTCCTCCCCCCAGTCCCACCGGGCGACATGTGGTCTGAGGATGTTCCTCTTCCCTCTTCTTCCAACAACCCTTTCTTGCCCCTGGGCAGGGGGGGGGGGCGTGGGTAGTAGTTAGAGCGCCCTTTTCCGCTTTTTCGGAATGCTATTTTTTAAGACCCCTCGCAGGGATCGTGGCCCCTGACCGATGGGAGGGGCGAACGGTGGGCCCCCCCCCTCGTTTGACCGACCGCCACCGAGAAGATGCCCCCAAAGAAGAGGCCCTCCAGGGCTCCCAAGAGGTCCCCGAGAGCAGCGTTCCAGGAGGCCCCAAGATGGCCCCAAGACGGCCCCAGATGCCCCCAAGACAGCCTTGAGGGCTCAAAGACGGCTCACGCGGCCTCCAAGACGCCCAAGATGGCTTCGAAGA